GACCATTCGTGGGGTTCAAGTGAGTCAAGTTCTGGAAAATAGGGTGACCATTCCTCTTCACCAATGAAGTCGGGCAGCTGTCGTCGGCACCACTCGCGGGCAAGCTTGGCTCTGTGGGCTGGAGTAGCGTCCTGCTGGAAGGACTATGAGATGTTTTAGAAAACGTAGCCTGATCAGTGCTTCAGTACTTCCATCAGTACGTTGTTCGAGTACTGGTCTTGGTCAATTTTCACGCCTGCACCGAAGAAACTACGAGCGGCTTACCCTTGCCAGTGACTTCTTCAAAAAAAAACATCATTTTACTGTTCTTATAGCAACCTTTTTATGGGAGATTGCGCTCTAGATGTTTCTTTCTAGAACGCGAACGTTTTGGTTGTTGAGGAATGGTTTTATCGTAAAAAATTTTTGATCAGAGAAAACGACGAAGGGTTGCGTGTCATCACTCAAGTGGGTCTGCGACTTTCCGCATTTTTTGGCCCTGCAGAATCTATCGAGATCGGGATTGGAGCATACGATAGGAACGGCAGTGGAGCTCCTGCATGACATTCTTCCATCGCGATAACTCGGATAAGCCGTGCCCGTTGACTTCCTTTTGATGGGTCACCCAGGATCCCGACCGATTGGCACACGGACCATTTTAATAGTCCTATTTTCAGAAACATCGCACCTTTCTATCTTTCCTGGTTTGTCTCTGATTCAATCTTCTTTTCTATATCGTTTAATAGCCTCCTATACGGTTATTAGAAANCTCTTCGTCCGAGTACTGTTTGTACGGGAAACATGCATACGTTGATTGGCATTTCATCGTGTAGTCTCGAAGATGCTGAACTATTCTACCCAATGAGCCAAGCACGTGCAATGTACCTTCTTGTCGAGGCTCACACACTGACTTTCCCCACGACGTAGAACGGGTAGAATGGAAGGAACCGAAATTATGACGTCGCACTCGCCCTACTAAGGGTTACAGGGCTGTTGTCAACCAGAATTTGTCTAGCTGAGAGGATCAGACGGCGAGGCAACTTCTGCGTCCGGTGTTCACCAGCGGGAGGAGGGCGTGTCCCCTCGTTGTCCGTACTCTCCTACAGAGCGCTCTTTCGTCAAGAGTAGACATTCGGGTGGGTCCAAGAATAGGAGAATTTTCAGAAAGACAGACTTCTTCCAACTAAGGAAACTTCTTATTTCGGAATTCAGATAGTCTGAGAGAAGCAAAGGCTTGATCTCTATCCAAATATAGATAAAACGTCTGTATAGAACATCCACACCGCGAAAAATCTATGTGGCTAGTAGAAAACCCAAGTTTGCAATCCATTTGCTACTTTGTTTTATGGGAATCAGCGCTGAGATTAACAATATCGTTTGAAGAACTGCAACACCATTGATTCGATCTTAACCCGACAGTGTTCGCTAAGTATCTTATTGTATCAGTGGTAAGAGGAGGGATTGAGGAATGGCCACCTCTTTCGTCTGCCCTCTATCCTCTTCGCGGTGAAATGCCTATTTGGGGAGACGCAGAGAAAACGACAAAAACGCTGAGTCACTACACACGCGGTTGACAACGGTCCTGTAAGCCCCTACTAAGGGTTGAAGGGTCCTGACGCGACTGCCGTCTCACAAGTGCAGCACATACAGTATGCCGTCAGGAAATCATCTGACGCAGGCCTTGCCTAACCTCGCCCATCAACACTTCCTTTTGCGTTCCACAAAATCTGCATTGCTATCCCGATCTGGTATCCATCCTGTACCTGACAGTCATCTTGACGTTTCCATTATTCCAAAGCCAGTAAGGGTCAGTTATCGACCTCGACAGTAGTCCTAGTGCTTGCTGAACTGTTCAATTGTGCTGAACATTTCAGGTAAGTTCTCTTCTGGAATACGCTATGACTAGTATAAATGAATCCAAAAAGACCACTATGCTGCATTAATATCTTTATTCCTTTAGCGACAAATAACCCGACTTCACAACTTTCTAGCTGTTGAAGAACATTGTGAGACCAGCAGGAATTGCACGAAGCGTGGGAATGTCGGGCTCGATTCTCGCAAATAGTAACGTCAAAGAAATTTTCGAATTCAAGGTAAAGATTGTAGATATTCACCTAATGTTGATGTTTCGATTAAAGCGCTATATGCTTGTGTACACTCGAATGAAAATCTCATCCCTCCGTATTCGCTAGCTGCGGACTCCATTTTGGAACAGAGGCTGTCTTGTGGGAATACAGGAAAATTCGGATACCATCAATCACTAAAATGATGGGTTGATACTTCAACTGACCTTTTTACCAGTGAAACCGGTCTCGCTACGCCCCTCCCCCTCCCCCCTTCCCACCCACCCCTTTGAGACTTTTGGTTAAGGGTATCCGCAACTAGGGAATGTCTGACATTACGGCGTCCAGGATTATCCTTGGGAACTTTCCATTCTGGATTGATTGGAAATTCCCATTTCAGCTTCGAATGAAGGAAACATTTCACTCCCATGTCCATGAGACGTCATCGACACACCCGCCCATCACAGGGAATATCGGCTGAAAGCGTTTTGGAGCCCGTCCTCATCCAATTTTTTCCTCATCGAAAATCTTTTGTTTAGAGCGGAACCCACCATCACTCCCTGGTCACAAAGCTCATAGAGTTACGCGATGACTGCTGCTTTCGTGATGTGACGTTGGTCGCTGAGGTAAGCGCCGAAATGTGCCCATCGAGTGTATTCCAGCGCTAATTTTCCAGGGAATCCGAATCAACGCCCATCGAGTCGTTCTCGCTGCCTACTCAGACTACTTCAAGGCCATGTTCACCAGTGAAATGCGCGAATCTCAGCAGCGTGCGTTCATATCTTGGGGTGCGGGTTGCTGGGCAAGTTCTTTTAGTTCAATTTTTCTTTCAGAAGAAATAGAAATGTTCGATGTCGAAGCGCCAGCACTTGACGCTCTGATCAGTTTCTGCTATTGTGGTGAGATACAAATTGACGGCATAAATGTTCCAAGCATTCTGCATGCGGCTTGCCTGCTTCAGTTGAACGAAGTCCAGGTCAGGGAAGTCTATAGCAGTTCACTGTGTTCGAGGGCTTTGTCAAACATTACATATTTGTTAATGCGTAGGAAGCCTGTTGTGAGTTCCTCAAGAAGCAGTTACGACCGTCGAACTGCCTGAGAGTCAGGGAATTTGCCGATAACCATTTCTGTCACGAGCTTGTTCGTTGTGCTGATGAATACATCTTGAAGAACTTCCAGGTAGCCAACTTGATTTCGAGATTATCGTTCACAGGTCCTTTCTTTCTTTTTTTCAGGACATTATTGTCACTGAAGAGTTTCTTCAGCTTCCAATGAATCAGTTGGACCAACTGCTGTCGAGCGATGATCTCGTTGTACCTTTTGAAGAGCAGGTAATGTGTCAGTTTTGAGTAAAATCTCTGCCTTTCCTCGGTAATGAGTGTTTTTGTCTTCTTGTGTATTATCGACTTGAATGTCTTCAGGTTATCACTGCAGTACTCCAGTGGGTTGAGTTCGACTCGTTATCTCGAAGGCACTTGCTTCCGGAGGTAGGGCAGTGAGCTTCTTCATGTAGTGACCTCTTTTCAACCTTTGCAGCTTTTGGAGCACGTACGTTTTCCTCTTTGTCGGCCAGACTTTCTTGTCAATACAGTAACTAAGAATGCGCTTGTGATGGGAGATGCCGCCTGCCACAATCTTGTCGACAAAGCAAAGGTGAGAAGGTTCCCTTGAAAGGCTGTTCTTAACAGATTGGTTTCCTAGATTTGTCAGCCGTTGATATTCGCTACTTCTTCAACTGACACAAGTTTTAGGATGATCTAATTCTTCAATTCTCTACCCATGAATGTTCAAATGTGAAAGTGAAGCGCACCCGAGCGTGTAGAGTGGTTTCTAAAGTAATATATGTCGGTATGAGGCCTAACAAAATGTTCGTGATTTTTTTGTCTCTTTTTCACGAAGGCAAAAGTCTGAGTTTCTTCTCACCTTATCGGCTTCCGTATTGGCTTTTTCTTGCTATACTCCTCCATAAGAAGTTAATGATCTCAGTTTCATATATACGTGTTCAGTGGGTGGAGTAAACGAGAGAAGTGTCGAACGTCTGGATCCTGAAGGTGCTAATCCTGTATGGCAGTACGCTGCTCCTTTGAACCAGGATAGGTACAACATTCTTCGAATATGTGCTCACCATCTCGAACAGTTCTGAATTCTAAGGTATTATGGCAGTGCTGCGGTTGTCGACAAGTTCATTTATGCTGTGTGTGGCCGTGATTGGATCGGTGTTTTGAACAGCATCGAGAGGTACTGCTTTTTACCTGACAAGCACAGCCGCTTCAACTAAAAGCTGCTTTCTTGTAGTATAACCTTTGTATCAGTCTTGAGTCCATTCCTGAGTCGGTGAGAGTCCGCTACTTCTATAGAAGTAGGGTCAGTCAAAGATCTCCTTCTAATGAGACGCTCAGAATTAAGCAAAAACGGCACTATATACCCTTTACTGCCCCACTTTGTCCAGAATGGGCTGGGTTTCTATCGAATTTTTTCAAGAAGATGAAACCGGAAACCAGCCTAGAGGGGCAATTTGACCCGCAGAACACAAATATCGGATCCACTCGTCATAAAGATGCCTAGCTTCCGCGCCACAGGTACCTGGGGTTCGGTCACTAATCTTGCTGAAAACTTGCCAATAAGTAGTGTGTTAGGGTATGGACATCATATTTCATGACGAATGGATGCGATATTCGTGTTCTACGGGTCAAATTACGCCTCTAGACAAGTTTTTAGTCGCTTCTTGGAAAAAATTCGCTAGAAATTCAGCCAATTCTCGACAAAGTGGGGCAGTAAAGGGTAAATAGTGCCGCAAAAACTAATTTGCTTCACACGGACTGTTTCGAAAAGATACGTGTAAGCGGTTTTTGGAGCATATTCTTCGAAATTTTTAGTTCTGTCCCTAGAACTGAATGATTGTTGTTCTTCGAGGTCATTCGTATAGCCATGTGAGATGGGAAGAATTTAGTTTTCTCAATGCATCTCTTCAGATATAACCCTGTCACTGACCGGTGGATGTCTGACGTCGCTCCCTGTTCCACTGGTCGATTTTGGCTGGATGTAGCCGCTCTTGGCGACCATCTTTATGCTATTGGCGGCCTCAAGGAATTTAAAGGCCGAGCCCTCGACGTTGTTGAGTGGTAAGGACAGATTTGATCGGCTATCGCATTTGCTGAATTCCGTGGTGCCACTGCAGCTATGACGTCCGGCGAAATACGTGGATCTCTGTGGCACCTATGAGCTCACGTCGAGCGAGTCTCTCTGTCTCAGTGTTAGATGGTTGCCTATACGCAGTGGGAGGGTGCAATGAAACTGCTGTTCTCAATACCGTAGAGAGGTAGATCTATTTCAATTTGGTGACACTGTACTGCTTTTAGCAGAGTTTCTTGGCATTCAACATCTCTAATTACTCTAGTGAACCGATTAGGGAAGAACCACTGTTGTGAAGCAAATAGATAAAAGGTTCAAAAATCATAATTGTATCCTACGGTAATTTTAAAACAGCTATACTCATTGTCGATCAGCACATTGAGCGGTTCAGGTTTCGTTAAATTATCCTTCGCTGGGGTTGGGAACAAACTCGTAATCCTCAAAAGCCCTTCGAAACGAACTCATTAAACATATAGTTCAGGACATCTAGGAGTGGTCTACCTTCTTGATATTCAGAACTAGGAGAGGGGAACGATAGAGCAGTTTTCCGATGACTTGGCGAGGATTTTTGGGAGCCGTCCATGGAAGCTGTATTTCATTGTGCTTACAATTATACCAATATTTTCCTGAGGTCTTCTCTGATTGAATGTGAGCAAATGCTGAAATACATTTGAAACACCAATAAAAAAGGCTTTCATATTTTAGGTTCGACCCACGAGTCGGTAGATGGGAAAAGGTTTGTCCGATGACAACCCCTCGAGAGGGTCATGGTTCTGCAGTGCTCTATGGCGAATTGTATGCAGTAGGTGGATACAACAAATATTCACACACGCTGAGCTCTGCTGAGAAGTACGATCCCCGAGCTAATAAGTGGATCTCAGTGGCTGATATGAGCTGTAGGCGAAATGGTGTAAGGCAGCTTCATTCCCTTATACTCTCGTGACCTCTTTTTGTTAATGAGAATTTGTGTAGTTCTCAGGTGGGACTGGCTGCACTCAATGGAAAGTTGTATGCCATCGGTGGAGATAATCATACTTCAGTTGAAGTTTTTGTTCCTATGGCGAACAACTGGAAACACCACAGTAACATGAACTGCAAGTCAGTTGATGTCCGTGATCATTTGCTCATTTTTCAGGCTCTGCTTATCAGTACAAACTCTTTCAGACGTTATTTGTCCGGGGTGGCTGTACTATCGAAGCCCTAGAAATCGGGAGAACAGAAACGTCCTCTCAAAGGCTGCCGTCTCTTGTTCCTCTCTTCATGTTCCTTATTGACCGTGGAAATCATGGGCCTTCTTGATTGATGTTTTACTCTGATGAATACTTTTCTTCAAAGAATAATCAGTAAATTTTATTCAGTATTTTAGAAACTAACTTGTACATCTGCTTCTCCTGAGTGAATAATTAATGTTAAAATTTTGACTTTTAATTTTATAGATTTCATTAATTTCGTGAAGAAAGGAACTGTAAATGTGTCGGGAGGGACGCTCAGTTACAGGTTCCTCAAGATAAGTTACACAGACTTTTATGGAAGACCACAGTGTAGAAGAAGCAGAAATTAGCATTGTCCACGGGCTTCTTTCTCTCTACTGATAACGGCTATTCGGTTGATGTGCTTTATCCTTTTCACAACTAAGATTTTCAACAAATTGAAGGCAAACGACGCCTGAGTATTGAAAGAATGAGGGATTATGTTGCCTGGGAAGTAAAAGAACGGCTGAAAATATCGAGAGGGTCTAGCTTGCCTTTAAAAAAAAGGTATCAAGACCTTTAGTGCACGTTGTAATAAAATAGATTCTTCAGGAGGTGGTCAACTTTGTGGGATAACTTTTCTACAGAGGCTAAATCTAACCGAGCTCGTGCAAAGGCCTCTTTTCCTCACTTTTCTGGTCCCGTTCTCGCCCAGCCCCCTTTTTAACAAATTTTTGAAGCTTTTTCACTTCGGGAACACCGGTGTACGCAGTATCTTGGCCTTTATAGCACTTTCCCTTCTTGTCTTTCATTTTTCTTCATAGTCTTAATTACCAGAAGCTATCGTGAACTGTGCCTTTGAGTGAACAAATGCGCAACTGCCAGCCCGATGGTCATACCTTTTGATGGAAGCTCGACAAAAGGAATAATCTCTTTTTGAGTGAGGGCGGTCTACTGGACGACTGGCGATGTTACTAGCGTCCAATCGAAAGGTAAGGTGATACAGAATGTGAATGACTAAACCCTCCCCCTATACTGAATACAAAGTTCCTTGCGAGTTCGATGAGTTGTCTTTTCTGCGGGAGAGACATTGATTTACTGCTTTATTCACGATTTTATATCAAAGAGCGAATAACTGTTTTGAAATCGTGAAGTAATGTCGAAAGTCCTCCACTCGGCACTGGACGATTTTGAGATTGTTCTGAAACAAGGCTTTTGAATGAGAATAATATTAGAATTTCGTTACTAAAATCAAATGCTAAAGAGGAATGTGTGTAACTAAAGTGAGAACCTGGCCATCGACACATTTCAATTATTTTTCCTAAAGCATCTAGAATTTCTATGAGAGCGTGCCAACGCCTTTACGCATGCTCCCGAAGACAGCATTAGAACACAAAAGTGGCGTGTCTCAAACAAAACGGGAACCGGTTGAATAGGATGGCAACCCCCACCCCCCAGTGGCACCTCCCAGGATATTCCCTTGTAACAGTTCTACACTGCAGGTTTCAGGACGAATGCTTATACTTTTTTCTATTTTGGGATGAGATTAGTGGCAAGTCGGGTAGTGGGGCACCGCCCTCTTTAGTTTTTAGTCAAAACTATATTCTTCCGTTTATAACCGTTTCTAAACACAGGTAAGGTCGGCTACCCTCATTCTCTGC